TCCCTGCGGGGAGTTCGTTCCAGAGGGCCGGACCTGCCACAGAGAAGGGCCTCCCCCGGGTAGTAGCCAGGTGGCATTGACTAGTAGACGGAACCCGGAGGAGGCCAACCCTGTGTGATCTAATGGGCCTTTGGGAGGTAATTGGCAGCAGGCGGTCTCTCAAGTACTCTGACACAACATCAATTGGTTGGAGCTGAAAGCAGCGCGCCTGGCCCTCCAACATTTCAAGGACTCTGTGAAGGGCCTCCACGTGCTCCTCCTGACGGACAATGTCGCCACAAAGGCCCACATAAACTATCAGGGAGGGACACACTCTCAAGCCCTCTGGCTAGAGGCTCTGAGGATCGGCTCTTGGGCAGAGAAACATCTGGCTTCGCTAGTGTCGGAACATATATTGGGCGAGTCCAACCACCAGGCAGACTGGCTGAGCCGGGCGACCCTCGACAACGGCGAGTGGCAGCTCCTCCCCGACCTGTTTCAGGAGATATGCCAGAGGTTCTGCACCCCGCTGGTGGACCTGTTTGCCACCCTGGCAAATTCACAACTGCCGAAGTTCTTCTCCCGTTTCCAGAACCAAGCTGTGGAGGGCACGGATGCCCTCAGGAGCAGATGGCCTCCGGGCCTCCTCTATGCCTTCCCTCCCATTCCCCTTATCCCGGGGGTCCTCAGGAAGGTAGTGACAGAGAGGGCTCACATCATCATGCTAGCCCCTTATTGGCCCGGGAGACCCTGGTTTGCGGATCTGGTACAACTTTCGGTTTCCCAGCCATGGAGGATTCCTCGGGAGATCGTCTTGTGCCAGGGGTTTTTGATGCACCCAGAGCCACAGTGGCTCCATCTGACCGCCTGGCACTTGAACGGCGACTCCTGAGGAAGGCTAACCTGTCCTCCAAAGTCATACAAACCATTGAAGCCTCTAGGCGACCGTCAACCACTCGGATCTATAACTCCACCTGTCAGCCTTTGTCAGATGGTGCTCCCCATCAGCCATCAGTCCAGCCAGGGCCACGATCCCCAACGTCCTGGACTTCCTGCAGAAGGGACTGGATGACGGCCTATCACATAACACCCTACGCCTGCCAGGTGGCAGCGTTGTCGTCCGTCCTGGGGGTGGGTGGGCTCTTCCTCCCTCTCCCACCATCCCCTAGTCAAACATTTTCTGAAGGGGACGGCAAATCTCAGGCCCCCTCCTATCCACAGATTTCCAACCTGGGATCTTCCTCTGGTCCTCAGGGCCTTGACGGGGGCTCCGTTTGAACCTCTTCGAACAGTCCATCTTAGGTTCTTGTCCCTTAAGGTGGCATTTATGGTGGCCATTACGTCTGCCAGGCGTATTTCAGAGCTAGGCGCCCTATCCTCCAAGGACGATCTTTGTCAATTCCACCAAGATAGGGCGGTCCTTCACCTGGACCCCACCTTTTTCCCCAAAGTGAACACCCCATTTTACAGGGCGCAGGAGTTAGTCTTGCCTAACTTCTGTCCGGCTCCCTCTAGTGATAGGGAGCGACTATGGCACCGTCTGGACGTCACCTTGCGCATCTATCTCAGGCGGATGGTGAGGTGTACACAGATCGGAGGCCCTCTTCGTTTCCTTTCAGCCGGGGTCTCTGGGGGCCAGGGTTTCCTTGGCCATTATTGGCCAGTGGATACGTCAGGCCATTGCAGGGGCCTATGAGGCAGTGGGTCAGCCTGCCCCGGCGGGAATCATGGCCCACTCCACTAGAAGTGCCGCAACCACAGTGGCGTGGGCCACTAGAGCTCCTTTTGAGGATATCTGTTGGGCGGCTGTTTGGGCATCCCCAACCTCTTTCATCTGTCATTATCGACTGGACGCATTCACCTCGGTGGACGCGTCCTTTGGTCGTAGGATTCTACAGAGGGTGGCAGCTGACTCTCCCCTTGGGCCCTAGTTTCCCTCCCTGGGACTAAGCTTGGGTATTTCCCATGCGTAACCCCTCCCTCTCTTCCCCTGAAAAGACACATTCAGGTAAGACCAACGTTCTTTTTACAGTGTTTCTTGCCAGAATCACTGCAATTGTTAAGTTAGTAACAAGGTTCCTAAGTGAATCTGGCTTCCCTATTGATTTTGCTTATCAGGAGGTCATAAAAGGTGATCGCATGACTCCAGGTCACTGCAACTGTCATAAATATGAATCAGTTGCCAAGCATCTGAGTTTTCATCCCATGATCAAGGGATGCTGCAAGTGAAAAATGGTCATAAATCCTTTTTTTCTCAGTGTCTTTGCATCTTCGAATGGTCACTAATTGAATTGTTGTAGAACTACCTGTATTCAGTGCAAGTTTTATCATCTCTCAAATCTGATTCAGGGGGTTTCCCCAAGCATTCAGGATAGTTTTCAATTGTGTGCAGAATATTAGTAGACGTAATAATTTATTCTGCTGGCAGAACATCTGTCAGTGTTATGATACAATTGGACCCAAATAATATCCCATATATGGTATAATATTCTGAAACTTTTCATATTGTGCACTTTTTTTGTAATTGGTATAACTGGCTTCCAAAATTAAGTAATTATAAAAACTAACAAATGTATGGTGCTTAGTGTATAAGAATGAAATTGTTTCCTAGTAATATATTTAATAGATGGCAAGATTTACACTAAACAATAATCTGGTTTGTTTTCACAGTAGCATAAGATAGGAAGCCAATGATGGTGACTATGCAGATCACTACAGTTTATTCAACAAACCAATGTGGTATGTATTCCTAGTCAAACTATGTGGAATTCTTTGAAATGTACAAATGCTATCCATACTATTTAAAATTATTCCTTGCTCCACTCAAATTTCATTTCATTCCCTGGCCCATTTCCCAGTGACATACACAATAAAGGAATCAGAAGTAATTTTTTATTAGAAAATATGTACAAAAAGTTGCAGAGTATGATGCAGCACACTCTTTGTATTTAAGATCACAAATGAAGTATTCCAATCAATCAGTCATTTCATACTATAGTAGCAAATGCGAACACAGTTCCTGCCTGATTTTTTTACATAGTTTTACACAGTCAAATTCCACTTACCCAACAGGTTAGACGATTGTGATTCCATAGAAAACTACTGTATCCAGCTTCAGCCTGCTGTATGTTAGCAGTTCACGTAATATTGAATACTGAATTTTGGTCACAATAGCATTTTTATAGAGGACAGTACAGAATCACATAAAAACCTGTAATTTCCAAACACTGACCAAGCTCTTATTGGTTGTTGTATTATCCATTGTAAAGTTTGAATGTTGCAAAATTTACCCACTCAGATATGCAGCATTTTATTTCCCAAAAGTTCAACAACTGTGTTGTCAGTTTACACATCTTCAGCCAAGGGAAAATGCACTAAAGTAAATTGATGCATAAAAAGTCCCTTTTCAGAGAAGACTCTTCTCTGTCCGGTTTTTGCATAGTCAAAAATAAAGAAATAAAAGCTAAATTAGTCTTCAGTCGCATTTATTATTAAATCTTCACTTATTAGTTCATTCATTATATTTTCATAAATACCATTAAGATGCATTTCTTTCAGGCTGTCAAGTATTTTATTAAAAGCAGGAACAACTCCCTTCCTGTCTCGCAAAGTTCTTAACATCTGATAATGCCGTTCATTAGAATGTTGAGGATTATCATGTTTTATGTTCTCTAGGTCAACATCTGATAAGCCACATTTCCTCATAAGTCTTTGCCAATCATCTGGTAACACTATGTTCCTTGTTTGAAAATAAGTCTTCTCCAATTCTGCAATGCAAATAAAAATATATGTTAGATTTTTAAAAAAGCATTTTACACGACTCACATGCTTATATACTTATATGGCATTTCAAATGACCTGCAGGACAAACGTCACATTTTTCTTCAATGTATATATTTGGCTTTCGGCTGCATTGGCTCAACGTTTAATTTTCAAAAGCATGAACCCAAAATTTATGTTGCTAAGTGAAACATTTGTTAAGTGAGTTTGTCCCATTTTACAACTTTTCTTGCCACAGTTCTTAAGTGAATTGTTGCATTTGTTAAGTTAATAGCATGGTTATTAAGTGAATCTGTAATCTCCATTGACTTTGCTTGTCAGAAGGGGGAATCCCATGACTCCAGGAGACTGTGACCGTCATAAATATGAACCACTTGCCAAGCATCTGAATTTTGACCATGAAATCATGGGGATGCTGCAACAGTAGTGAAAAGTGTAAGTCACT